CGGGGCGGGGGGGTCTCGCAGAGCCACTAACGTGGTGCCTAGGGTCCGCGCCAATTGCACCCTTTCATTAAACTGTGAAAGCCTCTGTGAGCCAGGCTCTGCGTGCAAACCTGAAGCAGGCACAGACTTTGTTTTCGGAGAACTCGTGCTGGAACGGAAGGCACCGAATTGGTTATCTCTGCTCCAGTGTAGCAATAGAGAGAGGGGCACAGGCTGTTGTGGGACACGTCCGTGCAAGAGGGAGGGTGTGCTGTCTAGAAAGGCTCTTGCCGGCAACATGAGTAGATGTTGGTTTGGCACAATGTGCTTGTGTGTGCGGAGCTGGGAGGGTCTGGTAAACTGGAGAGAAAGGAGTGAGCCTCGAAGCTTGACAGGCCGGTAGGCGCTAAATGGAGGAGGGTTTTCTGTTATCATGGCCCATTGCTTACCTTCCTGATCCCTCCGCCTTCTTAGTTGGACATCTCCAGTCTTTAGTTCCTCCACCAGTGAGGCCGGTCCAGAAGAAGTTATTTTATGTTCTTATTTTCGACTAGCATTCTATCACTAGAAATTGTTTAACTTTACAGTTTTATGGACTATAATGCAATACATCGAGCTATCTCTGTTTATGAAAATCTTCACTGAAAGTGTTTCTTCTTCTCTTCCAAATTTATCATAGCTGAGACATTGAGCAGGGCACCGAAATCGGTCATCTCCTTGGCTACTGGATCACCAAACCCCAACACCTTCCCTTTTAAGACTGCTGTTATCACCGTAGACAATGGAGAGCCCATCCAGTTTAATGAAGAGATGATGAAGAGAGCACTTCAGTATTCTCAGAGTGCTGGGTAGCTATCAATAGACAACATAATTTTGTTGGTTTATTTTCATGAGTAATATTCCAAGGCCCATTGATAAAGTAGTGTGTCTTTTTTAACTGGGTATTCAACAGGTAGGAAGGTTTGGGGTAGAATTTCCAAAGAATAATTAAGAGTAACAGATGCATTGAATGCTTAACACCCCCTCCGTGACTGCTCCTTGACTTTAAATGATGGGGAGACTCAGAGAAGGCTTCTAAGAGGAAGTACCTACCATTAGAGATGAAACTGAAAAAAAAGAGAGAGACAGAGAGAGAGAGCTAGAGGAAGAAACCAGTTGGGATAAAGGAGGAAAAGGATGATCCAGGAAGAAGCAATTTTAAGTCTGGGGGTAATTTTGTAATAATTAGATTCCCTTAATAGTTGCAGACACCTATGCAGATACTTAGCCTTCAATGCAGAGGTCTCTAATTTCTTAAAACAAAGTTGGAACATACACTTTATGATTTTTCTTAGCTGGTCTTCTTCCAATGATAAAGAGTAATTTATAGAGTGTCTACAAATTATACTTCATTAAATTTTCTTTGTTCTGTGATTAAAAAGGACACTTAAATATAGCACATTATGTAAACATGAATTATGTGTAATAGACACATAGGCTTTTCTTTCCATGATACAAAGAACTTGAGATTGAACTTCTAGGTAGCCTATGGAAAATTTCCTAGGATAACAAAGAATTGATGATGCAGTTAGTGCTCTAGTGTAAAAGAGACCAGGCTTTGGAATAAGAAAGATGGAGATTCATATCTTAGCTCATTTAATGTAAGCTGACTGACTTTATGTGAATTTATTAATCTCAGTCTGTTGCCTTCTCCTATAAATAGGGATATTAATATTAGCAAAAAGCATTTGAAGATTTTTAAATTGAATGTATAAAGTGCATAATATAAAGCTACCATCTAATTCTTATCTACTATTATTACAATTTTTAATACTATAAATTTGAAAATACATTTTATGCTGTAGAATCCCCGAGCTGTTGTCCTGGCTAAAACAGTTACAAGTAAAATTGCATAATCCTCCCACCATCAATTATCCAACCAGCCAAGGAAAAATGGACTTATGTGTAACATCTGGCAGCCAAGACGGCCTTTGTAAGGTAAGACTGAAAGGAAAGGGAACCCCACATTAAGAATCATATTTATGTTCAGGGCGCCTGGGTGGCTTCAGCTCAGTCATGATCTTGCAGTTTGTGGGTTCGAGCCCCACATCCGGCCCTGTGCTGACAGCTCAGAGCCTGGAGCCTGCTTCGGATTCTCTGTCTCCCTCTCTCTCTGCCCCTCGCCCACTCTCACTCTGTCTCTGTCTCTCAAAAATAAATATGTTTCTTTAATGTTAAGAAAAAAAAATTTTTTTTAAAGAAATATGTTCATAAATACACTCCTCTCTCCTAACCACAAGAGGATCATGTTTTATGAGTTACTGGTAGTCTATCTTTACCTAGAATTTTAAACATGGAATTTAAAGACATTCACTAACCTGGTTTTTCTTCAGTGTAGATCATGTGGTTAATAACCCATAGCCAGGAGTCATTAAAACAAGATTCCCATGAAGGGAATACTCAACTCCTACCAGAAGCTTAGTGAGCACTGCTTAATTCATTTGGCTCAAAGACTCAGGTTACATTTTGATTTATGTAGTTATGAAATTTCAATATGATTTTTAAATTCTTTAGAGGGGATATCCTGATAGTCCTGAAGTGAAATGTAAATATTTTGCATGGCTGCTTATATAATCATCTGTGTTCACAACTGCTTACATCTGGACTTCTTGGATGTGTGCTTCCCTAGATCTCTATGTATGTCTGTCTCTGACTTATTTCTGGGTTAATTCTCGTGTTATCTCTCTCTCTGTGTGTCTCTCTTTCTCAGTTATTCCATCTGCCTCTCTCCTGGGTTATAGGAAGTCTATAACCACCATTGGGGGATTTTCATAATAAAGAGACTGTACCTATGGTTCTCTATTTCATCTGTTTTTTTTTCTTTTCTTTTTCATGAATAATTAGTCCTAAAGATTCTCTACATTCAGTCTTCATATCTAGATTAAAAAGTGCTCTTACTTATCTTAAACCATAGTAGCTTTGTTTTTCTTCTTATGAAAATGTGAAAGCTGTAATCTAGTTAGCTTTAATGAATTTAAAAAAAAATTTTTTAACATTTATTTATTTTCAAGAGACAGAGAGCAAGGGGGGAGGGGCAGAGAGACAGGGAGACACAGAATCCAAAGCAGGCTCCAGACTCTGATCTGTCAGCGCAGAGCCGGATGTGAGGCTCAAACCCACTAACTGTGGGATCATGACCTGAGCTGAAGATGGATGCCCAACCAACTGAGCCACCCAGGCGCCTCAGCTTTAATGAATTTTAATTAAATTATTACAGCATGATGTATTGAAGTAATAAGAATATAATTTTTCCTCCCTATTTTTTTATTTAATTGGGGGAAAAGGAAGATTAGCTACCGTTTGAGTGTTTGCTTGAAGAGAAACAATTGTGATTCCATAGACTAATATGAAAAAAGGTCTTTTCAGTTAAATTCTTAGGAAGGTATACTATGAACCTTTTTTTTCCCAGAAAGATGCTCAAGACAATTTATCTGTCACAATATCCATCATATCAAAGGAAGATAGCATAGATGGTCAAATACATCAATAACTCACTCATTTACACACACGTTATTACAGAGGCCTTAGTGGGAATCTGGTTTACTATTCCTTCCACTTTGTTCTCCAAGATAGATATCATTTTAGTCACCTGTGTGTCTGTCTGCATCTATTAAACAGTGCCACCAGATAATAAACAGCCCTTCTTTTCATTTAGGTTATTTGATATCCTCATGTCCCCTAATGGACATAGAAAATGTATATAATTAGGTTTTCATTTGACCTATTGACAATGGACATGCCACCCAAGTAATTTGTTTAGTCCTAGGATGTCCTGTAAAGCTGAATCACTTGGAAACTTTCTGGAGGTGGATACTGTTTGTCATATAAGGCCAAAACCTCATAAGGAAAAAGGAAAGAGAACATCCTGGGCAAAATCAGGAAACAAAAGTCAAATTGTCTATCTCAGTTGATAATGGCCATACTGTTTGTCATGAGATACAGGTTTAAGATGAGGAAGGAGAGGCTTGAACCAAGGATTGTGACACACCACAAGGAAAGAAAAGATGATTCCACGAGTTATGTAAGATTTAGTCATAAAAGACCCCCTTTGATTTAGGCTAGAAGTATCTATTGTCTAGGTCATATTGTCTGCAAAATCTCCTAAAATTTGTCAAGCCTGTCTTACCTGACCTCTAAATATCCTTTAACATTGTTGATCTTCCCATCCTTTCTGAAACACTCTTCTCTGATTCTCTCAACACCTCACTGGCCCAATTGTCCTGCCTTCTTTGCAGTGTCCCCTTCTACATATCCATCATTTATTAGACTTCAAGGCTCAGTCCTCAAACTTCTTCTCCCCTCAGTCCATATACTTTCCCTGGGTACCTCCATTCACACCCTTGTGCTCATCATAGCTAGTAACTTACACGTTCCTTCCAAATCCATGTTATCCATCTGTCCACTTGGAACTGTGACAGAATGTTTCAAAGGCATCTCAAACCAGAACATACTCATCACCTTGTCCCCCAGAGATGGACAACTTTGTGGTTCTGTTTATCAGTGAATAGCATCACTCCCTCCAGGAGTCAGTCTTCATGGTTCCCCTTCCTCATTCTCCTATAATCCATAATTGTGTTCTCTTGGCATGGATTTTCTAAATACCTCTTCAGTTTTCCTCTCCAATTCCATCGTCACTGTTGGTCAGGCTATATCTGCATCTTTCTCCAGAACTACAGCAAAAACGTTCCAGAGAATCCCAAAATTTCCCAAACGTTCCACATGTGTTCTCACTCATCTTTTATTCTTTCATATTGTTGCCAGAAATAACTTCCCAATATGCATATCTGATAATGTGACTCCTCCTTCCCAGCCTCTACCTAAAATTCTTACTGGCCTCATGTGGCTTGAATGCCAACGTGGTATTTCTCTGCCTACTTCTATCAGATCTCACGCCACCTTCCTCTTTACGTCCCACTTTAAGCCACAGAATTCTTTCAGTTTCTCAAAATGTACCTATTGTAATCCCCTATACCATCTCATCACTTCCTCAAGGAAGACTTCCCTGAATGCCTGGAATTCCCGGATTGTCCAAGTCCTCTTTCAGTGAGCCCTTATAGCATTGTGCATCTATAGTTCATAGAACTCACCATTGTTTTTAAGTATACATTTATTTAGTTATTTGATTAGCATCTAGCTTTCCCATTGGACTAGTACCTCCATGAGGATAAGAACCTTGTTGCTCTGCTCATCATTTTGTCTCCATACCATACGCTGGGTTGGCTTAGAGTAAATATTTAGTATATTTTCAAAGAAGGAATAAAAGGAATAAATGAATTTTGGGGTCAAGCTAGTTATCTTACCCTAAAACAGAGGTTGGAAAACTATGCATAGCTTGAAAAACCAAATCTAGGCTTCATCTGACTTTATAAATAGAGTTTTGTTGGAACTCAGCCACACCTATTGGTTTACGTATTGTCTTTGGCTGCTTTCTCACTATAGAGGCAGAGATAAATAGTTGTAATGGAGATATTATGGCCCCACAAAATATGTACCATCCTGCACTTTACAGAAAATTTGCCAACTCCTACTGTAGAATCCTAATGAGCTCAAAAAAAAAAGGGCTCTAAGAATTGAAACAATACTATCCAACCTAACCTATGCTTCTTTTGTTAGGTGTTTGAAATGATCATTAATCCTGGAGATAATGTCCTCCTTAATGAACCTGTTTACTCAGGAACACTTCAAGCTGTGAGTACACATTTTTATTAAAAGGCAACTCTCTTTCTTATAATACATAAGAAGAAAACATTGTACCTTTGGAATTATCTGTCCACTGAAAAATAAGATAGGAGAATCTTAAATGATATATGTAAAATATGTTAAGCGTACCCTCCACTTTATACATTTCTTTTTACAAAATCTAAATATGTAGATGCTAAAATTAGGTTGTGCAAAATCACATCCAGCTTTCTTCATGTTTCACTTGAAATGCAACTTCATTTACAAAACCGTATCTTTCCATTACCATCTTTTATTACCATATGCCTAAGTATAATCATGTTGTATGTCAATTTAATATAACGGTAAGCCAATATGGTATAATTAGGACTTTCCACTCTAGCATTAAATTAATGGGACTATAATATCCAGAATGAGGAAGCTGGTCATCTGGCTGTACTATGCACTAATCAGAACACACCATTGAGAATTAGGTTTGTTTGGGGCACAATACTTTAGGATAGCCATGGATTGACTTCTGCATGTCCTCGGGTTAACAGAACTGGAATGAAAGGGTGGAAACTACAGGGAAGCTATTTCAACTCAATGTAATAACTTCCTAGCCATGAGCCTCACCTGGCTCCTGACTGCCTAGGGAGGTAAGGTACTTATTGCCCATCACTGAAGATTTTCAAAGTTACTCTGAACTGTCATTTAACACAAGTGTTAGAAAAGTAACTCTAGCTTAAAATAGGGAAATGAATGAGATGACCTTTATGCTCTGTTGATTCTAATATCATGGATTCTCTCTTTTTCGAGTTTAATACCGTCTTTAAAATTAATACATAAAACAATAATATAGTGTTAATGAAAGGCATATTTTCTCAAAACTTCTAAGTAGGGATAAAATTGATATTATAAAAAATGCTTTTCCTATGAACAACCTGAAAAGGAAATTAAGAAAATAATTCCATTTATAATAATAGCCAAAAGAATAAATATCTGAAATTAAATCTAACAAAGGGAGCAAAAGACTGGCACCTATAAACTATAAAACACTGTTGAAAGAAATTAAAGAAGATCCAAATAAATGGAAATACATCACCTATTCATCAATTGGAAGACTTAATACTGTTTAGATGTTAGTAATACCAAAGCAAACTATAGATTCAACATAGTCCCTATCAAATTCTAGTAGCCTTTTTTGCAGAAATAGAAAAGCCAATTCTTAAAATCATATGGGATTGGAAGGAACCCAAATGGCCAAAACAATCTTAAAAAAGAACAAAGTTGGAGGATTCCCACTTCCTGATTTCAAAACCAACTTCAAAGCAACAGTAATCAAAATAGTGTGGTAATGGTATAGGGATAGACATATAGACCAATGGAATAGAATTGAGTCCAGAAATAAACCCACACATCTATGGTCAATTTATTTCGGTAAGGGTACCAAACCATTCAATAGAGAAAGAATAGTCTCTTCAGCATATCATGCTGAGACAACTGGATTTCCACATGGAAAAACAGAAATTGGACCCTGACCTCACACCTTATAAAAATTTAACTCAAAATGTATCAAAGACCTAAGTGGAAGAGCTAAAACTATAAAATCTTAGGAGAAAACATACAGGCAAATCTCCATGACCTTTGGTATGGCACTAAATTCTTAGATATGATACCAAAAACGTAGTCAAAAAGAACAAAAAATAGATAAATTGGACTTCATCAAAAATTAAAAACTTGTGGGGTACCTGGGTGGCTCAGTCAGTTAAGCATCCACCTTCGGCTCAGGTCACAATCTCATGGTTCATGGGTTCGAGCCCCATGTTGGGCTCTGCTGACAGCACAGAGCCTGAAGCCTGCTTTGGATTTTGTGTCTCCCTG